TCAAGAAAAAAGATATCGGGAATTTAACTTGCCATGCACTCTTTTTATATAGACAAATAAGTTATGTTACCATTATGTGTCAAATCGCTACAAACATTCTTTCCCTATTCCAATGTGGTTTCTAAAGTTCTTTGGCTAAGTTTTTTTTTTTCTAAAGAAAGGAAAATCCGTTGCTGCTAAATTAGTAAATGGAAACTCTGTATCTGAGACCATAAGAAGCGTTTTAATTAAGACTTGTTTTAGTTAAGACGCGTTTTAATCACAGAGTCTCTTGGATTATGAGCAAGTTCTTATTTCCGAAGGACAATATTAAATTAAGCAAAGTAAAAGTAAAGATTTCTGGTTCTTATTCAATCTCGTAAGCAGAAATTTTTTTTTTTTTTTTTAACTGGAAATCAAATAAAGCCAAGCCAATCTTGCTTCCAGGTATATTGAAACTGTGTATCAAGTTCTAGTTCCTCTTCAAGCTCCAATCTTATATATTTCTGGTGGTTTCTGAAGTTCTGGTTTCATTGTTGTATGTACGCTTATCATAAATCTTATCCAAAATTCATAATCATGCTGAGAGTAACTCGACAGATGTGTTCTTAAGGAACCTATTTTATGCGTCTAATTAAACAAAATTAGAATCTATGCGTCTCATATACTGTTAGAATATTTTTAGTTTTTTTGGGGGTAAGTCTCCTACAAAACTAACAAAATGTGAAAGCCTGGAAAACACGATAGATGGGTGTATTTCGAGGACTCTTTGACGCTCAAGTTAGAAAGCAATAATGAAAAGACCACATAGTGGTTAATTGGAGAGAGGAAAGAAATAGAATAACGGACCGAGAGCTTCTGAAAAAGGTGGAATCTAATCGGACCTGATTTTGGTGGGCATTTTGAGGTGGAAAGAGAAAAAGTGTAAGAGTTTGAGGGTGGAGATGCACCACGGTTTAGGAACTACCATGGAGTTAAAAGGTTGAAATTGTCGGAATAGTGACCGAAGAAGTGAGAGTGTTGTAGATTAAGATTCACAGATATCTAGAGAGATAGCATGAACCTTAAGATAGCGAAAAGATTGAATATTTCTAGAATTTTACTTGACTCGGATTAGTATACAGGGTCGGTCCTCGGGTCGTGGGTTTTATGGATTGGTCTATGATCCGGTTTGATTAGATCCAAATCTTTTGCTTGCGTCATACTTCTGATAGAATCACCAACTTTCTCTGGTGTGTTCCGCCTGCTGCAAGATCGTTTCTTGGCGCTTTTTTTTCACCTCATCATATAGATTAGGTTCGGCAGTTCAGACGGTATGGTCTTTGCTGTACCTCTGCTTTTCTTCTGCCTTCTACAAATTATCATTGTCACCTGACACGTATTAGCATAGTGCATTAAATGCCAGTCTCATGGGTTTGAAAAGAGTATGGGAAATTGAATCAGTCCAGGCATATTCTAATTTTCGAATGGAGGGAAATTTGAACAATTTTCTTGCTTAATGGATCATTCATACCTAGCCCGGATCCCTTGATACTAGGACCGGGCTGTCGAGATTGTCCCGCTAGTTGACTCCTTTCTCCAAGTATCTGTGCGGATTACATTTCCTTATATCCCGACCTTCCAGATCACTGAACTTAGGTCTAAGCATAGAGAAAGTAATCTCTCTTCCTCCTGTTCACTCCGTTATCAACCTCTTTGTCTATGACAGTGTTGCATGTGCTGTCAGATACGAAGAACCCGAGAACAGGTGGTCTTTCGTTCCGGATCTTTAGAATCCGAAGAATTTGAGGCCTGCTATATGTTTAGATCGTATTGGACCGTAAACCCAATACAAATCTTAATTTGGTCCAGGAGAGCCGTACCTGCAAAAAAATCATAAACATTACGTGAAAGCATGAATTTCGTCCACGTAGGAAAGATCGAATTTATCGCAAACCTATATAAAATCCTCATGTATCAAAACAAACAACTGACACTCTTAGTCTTTTCATAAACCATTAAAACAGAGGAGTGCAACCATTAAGACATTGTCTTTTTTTTTTTTTTTTAATGTGAGTTTGTTAAAATACTTTGTACTGTAGTGGATTTACTAGTAACCATGGTGGTTTCTTGATGAAATTTTTGAGTTCAGATCAATAAGAATTTATGGAGTTTTTTTGGTAAAACTGGGGATCCAGTTCAGATTATTTTTTGGGACAACATACATATATGATTTGGATTACTTAAAGTTTTTATTAAGATTTAATCTTCTTTATATAAAATTCGAGTTTGATGCCTTCAAGCTTTCACAAACGAGCTCAGATACTTGACACTTGGCGATTTTTATAGAAAATATCTTACACACTAGCACCAAATCCTAATTTAAAAGAAGATACATGAGATTATTTGGGGGGTATACTGTGTTTGGAGCGGAAACATTGGTTAAACATCAGACCATGATGAAGACGAAGAAGCCATGTTGTATCTCAATTATTCAACGGTTTCTTTTTCTTCCTCGTTTTCACTAACATACACTTGTGGTTGCATGTTTTCCGGAGAGAACGAATCCTTTCCAATTATATCACACTTTTCTCATTCTTGGTCGTTTCTTTCTCTTCAGATTCAGATGTTAGACCGCAAAAATCCGGAATGAAATCACGAAGATAAATAATAATAATACAAACGATATTTAAAGAAAGCGAGTAAATCGAGACTTTGGAAGCCGATTGAAAATAGACAAAACACTGAGTCGAGATTTGATAATTTTCTTAACTCAATAAATCTTCAGTAATGTGTGACCGTCTGAAGCGATTTTTGAATCTCTGGGTACAACTGTAATGAGACTATTATGCAACACCCATAATAGAATCTGCGAACTAAAATTACTACAATATAGCTCTCGAGACACTTACAATATTAAGACGAGAGGAATTTGCTGGAAAATATTGTTTTATGTGTTTTTCGGTGTGTGGAATGAAAAGAGAAGAGGCGTCTATTTATATGGAAGAGTTAGCTTGATCCGCAAGGAATAAATTTTGGCAAAAAGGAATATTCGTGAGATATTCTCCTTTTCTCGCAAGTAAAAACCAATTAAAAATGCAATGATCAATGAGCCCGAGCACCGACACCGGCACCAGCACCGGTGCGCGTAGGTGTTTTTGCATAATGCCTTTTTTACCTCCACAAAGCTGTTTGACCTTTATTGTGAGAAGGCTATATATATCCAAGAGGTTTCTCTCCTTGCTAAGCAATGTGAGCCTTTTACACTTCTACTTTTAGTTATAGCCAATGAGAACGTTTTATTTCTATAGGTTCAAACTCAAATCTCAAATGAATTTATAAGACACATTTGCTTATTAAACTTCATTTCTCATTTACATAAATACTTAATATTATAAGACCAATTGCTTATTAAAATTGAGTTCCAACACCAGACACCTTCAAGCAACTTGTGCTACCGCCTGCATGACTTGTTCTACCCTGCATTTACTTCTGATTCGAGTATCGATGATACCTGCAACTTCTTTTTCCTTTATGGAAAGGTTGAAGCAATGTTATGGTTTCTAAAGACCGAATGAAAAAAAAAATATTATAGAGTAGGAAACGATGTTGCCAAAAAGTGTGTTAAAAGAATATATATATATATATATTATCTAATCAAAACAATATTATGTCAGTGTAAGTATCTTGGTAAGACCTTATCTCTGCCACTCATGAAGTTGAAAACAGTTTGTGACTTCATCAACTAGACAACTAGTCTTATTCAAATGACATGAAAAAGAAAAACAAAAGAAAGAACAGAAAACTAAAGGAGTATGTAAAATATAAGTAATGGACATTAATCAACTGATCTTGTTTCCTTTTGACTCCTGTGGGTGGAGGTAGACTTTTAGTGGACCTTATTGGATCAGCAACAAACTTGGTACGTAGAGCATATAATCTACCAGTTGTAGAATCTGATTTCTTGTACTCCCTTATTAATCTACCAGTTGTAGAATTCGTTTTTTAATTCTTTATATATTTTACCGATTGGTGAAAAACATATTTTCTATAGTAGAATATAAGTTCTACTGAACACACTATACTCTACATATTTGTAAAATATAATTTCTACTTATTAGACTAGATTTTACATTCTGGTAGAATAAAATTTCTACTTATTTGACTTATATTCTACGTTATTGTAGAATACTTATTCTACATACAGTCTTTATTCTACATTAATAAAGAATAAAAATTCTATGAAAATCTGAGAAAATTTAGGACAATTGGTTAACACGCATAATTGAATATTTTTTTAAAATCCTTTATTTTTCACGTTTTTGTTTTTTTTTTGGCTATCATCGCTATCTTCTTCTTCTTTTCCACTGATCAAACTGATTTTTTCTAAGTTTGCCTATTTTCTGCTTCAAACATGCTACATAGTGAGGAGGCTAGTAGAAAACTGTAAAGCAACAAAATCTGGCTACACCAAAAAAAAACCCCGCATCGGTCGTACCCAGAGCCGTGCCTTCTCTTATTCAAAAAGGCATTTGCCTTAGGCCACAAACAAAATTTCAAAATTAAGGGCCACATCTTTGTAACAAGTAATTTAATTAGTAGTTTGAATTAACTTTTGTATGTGGTTTTACCCATTATAAATATATATTGTATGATTAAATTTTAGGATTTTAAACAAAATAGGGAAGACTACGTATTCCCACCCCAAAACTATCGCATATTAATAAAACCACATGAAGTTTCAGCCTCTTTTTAAAACCCCATATTTTGAAAGTTAAATACGTATTTCCCTCTAATCTTTCAATAACACACATAAACACACACAGATTAAAAGTTAAATACTAATAACCACACAAACCATTATTTCACTCGGTTTAGTGTTTACCAAATTATGGTTTATTGCTTAAACAAATCGTTAAACCAAAGAATGACCCAATTAGAAGAAGTTGACCAGATTATGACCCAAGTAAACAAGCTAAACCGGTTCTAACCCGTTTTTAACCCGACAGCAAAAAAAAATCTCCTAAAATCGATCCCTAACCCCAAAATTCGAAAAAATCCCCAATTGAACTCTATGAGCCCTAACTTTGATTCCTAAATGAAGAACCCTAAATTCAGTCTCTAAATCCCCAATTGAGTGCTTCCATTCGATTTTAAGCACTATTTCGACCAGCCTAAGCCCTATTTCGGGTATATATTTCGCGATTTCAATCCTAGAATTCCTTTCCAACCCAGAAAATTTCCAACTTCTAACTTGCTTTCTTCTTGCTTTCTTCGATTTCAGTGCTTAGGGTTTAGGTGTTTTCGCGATTTCGACCCCTCAAGCAGAAGCAATTGCAGTGCTTCCATTCTATTTCGCGATTTCAACCTTGCTTTCTAAACTTCCTTCTTCTTCACGTCACGAGGTATGCTTACTGTTAAATCCGATTTCAAACATTATAAATCCCAATTTCTGAATCAAAATTTGATGCTGTATTTCGTTTTTTTTTTATGTCACGAGGTAGACAATGTCGCTAGTGCCGGCTAATGATGCATTTGTTCAGGATGTTGATTCCGACGGTGAAGACATCCGAGAAAGAAATGATTTTAACAGAGAGGAAGTTGTATCTCTGTTTTGCGATGAGTCTCCCATCAGGCATAATGATTATCCTGAGACTGAGTTTGGTGGTGAAGGTGATGAAGCACAACGAACAGCTAAGAGACGCAACAACGTCCCGAGAGGTAATGGGAACTTGTATCTTGGACAAATTTTCATGAATGGTATTGCATTCAAAGAGGCTGTCCTCGATCATGCTCTTAAAACGGGTCGGAACATAAAGCAGAATAGGTGGGATAAAACCAAGCTTGCCTTCAATTGTGAAGGCAAAGGCTGTTCTTGGCGCATCCATTGCTCCATTTCGGGACAGTCTGATTGGTGGCAGGTTTCAGTCTTTGAGGGACCTCATACATGTGTTCCTAACGGAGTTTGTACGATGCTAAAAATCCCACAAATTGCTCGTTTGTTTCTTGACAAGATCACAATTCACGGCATCATAAGAAAAAACCAAAAACGGTAATGTTATTTCATTTTTTTTTTGATATGTGTTTGTTTTTTGGCTTAGTTTTTAGTGTATTTTTGGTTTAGAGTTTCCTTTTGGCTTTGTGTTCTTTAGTGTTTATGCTCATAGTATCGCATATTAGAGTTTTTTTTTGCTTTGTGTTCTTTAGTACCCTTATTCGCTGGTTTTGGCTTAATGTTTCCTTTTTTTTTCATTTCGCAGAATGCTGAAGCATCAACTCAGGCTGTAGCATCATCTCAGGTTGGAGCATCCTCTCAGGCTGAATCTTCTCAAGGAGTTCTCACTCAGATTTGAGTTCGATGATGACGACGGCTTTATGACCAGTTTTATGGTCTATTATTTTGGTATCTATTAGGATCTCTTTAACGATTTTATTATTTTGAAAACAAGTACGAAGCATCCAGTTGTATGGTCGTTTGATACATTGTAAGACCAGTTATATTTCGTCTATGTTTACTTGCTATTATCATTTTCTCCTCTCAAATGCGTTTTTACACAATCTCATAAACAATGTAAAATTCAAGCTTAGATCATTACACAATGATGTCTTGATCGTACAATGCTTTAAGAACCAGAGCCACCTCTTTGACCGCTTCTTCGTTTCCATTCTTTCCGCAGAATGATTCAATTGAATTGAGAAGATGCATCTGATCCATCCTCTTGCGTTGCAGCCACCAAGTAGTTCTTCTTCTTCGTCACTTCCTTTGCAAAACCTTTGCCCACACGATCAAAGAGAGCACTGAAGAGTGCGTCCATGACGTCTTGACGAGGATCAGAGCGAGAGGAGATAAAACGTTTGAGCTCGCTTATCGTTGAACCTTTCTTCAGATACTCTTTCATCTCCTGCACTAGCTTCTTCTCCTCCTGCGGTTTCTCAATTTTCACATCTCCGTTCGCTAGGCTTCTGGGCACCTTCGTCTCTTCTTCTTCACTACCAGAGAGCATCACCAGTTCTGCAGTTGCAGCACTCAACTGTTCTTTCATTCTTTTCTCAGCAGCTTCTCGAGAAGTATCGCTTTGCCACTGGATAACATCATTGTCTTCATCGAAATTAAGACAAGAATTGTGAAGAAATCGATTGTCGTTGTCGTCTTCTTCATCTTCGTGATTTGGGGATTATTAACATGAACAGGTTCTCGGGTCGGGTCGGGTCAGGTCGGTTCGGGTTGTTATTTTTGGTTTGAAATCGGTTGGGTCATGTTTTTTAATCGGGTCTCGGTTATAGTGGTTTCGGTCCGGTTAAGCTTGTAAACCATTTAAACCAATGAATGTGGGTGTTTATGTGTAGAATTCAAAGATCGGGGGGAAATACGTATTTAACTTTCAAAATATGGGGTTTTAAGAGGAGGCTTAAACTTCGTGTGGTTTTAGTAAGATACGAAAGTTCTGGGGTGGGAATACGTTGTTTACCCTATAAAATATCATATATTTACATCTATATACTTATATCATTATACTAAAATGGAATAAATGACTAAATTTTTACTTTAAAATAGAATTTAGTTTATGATAATACATAAAATTATTAAAACAAAAATTTAAAAAAAAAATTTACAAAAATTTAAAATTTGCCTTAAGCCTCTATAAGTCTAGGCACGGCACTGTTCGTACCCTTCCTTTTGTTTGCTTTTGCTTGTTTGTAATTATTTTCTAATTCCTCAAATAAAACCAGATCGATGATTTCAAAGCTTCAAAATCTCTTTCTTTTTCTCTCCTTAAGGAAGAATTTTTGTCCAACCATAATTCGGCAACAGCTTAGAAGTATATATCTGTGTTGGTTTCATTTCGTTCGAAAATTTTCCAATTGGCTTTCGTCATTTCATCTTTGAAACGTTTCAATTTCTTCACTATAAAATATATGAATCTGATCTGAATCTATCTAAATTGATAAAGGGATTTCATGCATGAATCTGGGATTGTTTGCAAAGATTACAACGAGTATGGCCAAAGAGAAAAGAGAAGATGCTTCATTGCCAAATAGTCGATTTGTTTCTGAATTTTCTCTCGATAATATAAAATCAATATATCCTCCAACATAGACACATGATCGTTGCCAAAATCCTCAAATATTTTATTTTAAGGAGGGGACAAATTTAAGATTCCTCAGCAACAACATTTGGTTTTATCTTATTAATCAAAGTAATGTTAGTGCATTTTGGAGCTTCATCAGCAAGATGATAGCTAATAAAAAAATGTATGAAAGACGGTTATAACATATTTTATTTGTTAAGTTATAAGACTTCCAAATGAAAAACTTGGTTACTCTCTACTTTTTCAGCGAAATTATTTTAATATCTTTATTTGTATTAACAGTCTTATTGAAAATGTTTGTATATCTTGCAAACACTTTATGAAAATAATATATTTGATTTACCAAAAAACAATAAAAATTTAATAATTATATTAAATGACCATCCTACCATCATAATTTGTAGAAATGACCAAACATTATAAACTATACTGTTTAATTTTTTTTAATACCAATACATTATTACAGCTTTATCCATGTCTATCATATCTTTTTCTCTTTTTCATTTATCTTTTCTCTCTCTTTTCTCCTTTTTTTTTTATGATTCTACTGTAATCTTCTTCACTTTCATCCTCTCCATCGTTGATCAAATTGTTTTTTTTTTTCTGCTTTTCTTTGTAAAGAAAAATAACTTCGTATTCCAACTGCTATAACAACCGATGATTCTATCAGCTTAATATTAACATATATAATAATGTGTATCTACTCTTATAAATTTATTGTCAGACTGGTAACATATCTAATAGAGTGTTAGATGTATTTATAGCCAGTGGCGGAGCCAGAATATTTTCTACCGGAATCAATACTAATATATTATATATGAAAAAATAATTAAATTAAAATATTATTGTTGAAACTGAACGTTTAAAATATTTTATTTATTAGTTTTGAATTATAAAACAGAACTAAAATAAAATATTATTGTTATAAATCCTATAAAAAGTTTTTTTTTTAAATCAGAATACATATATGTAGTTATAGAAATATTTAGTTTTATGTAAAACATACTAATAATCCCATATTATTATTTTTTATTGTTTCTGAAATACTGGTGAGAGAAAATCGTACGATAAAAGAATTCTTTTTAGAATGTTTTCTTATCTCAAATATATGAAGAGTGTTGTGAAAACTTAGAAACTTTATTAACCACTGGAATGTATATATAGAGTACATAGGGAATCTAGGTTAAGTACAATGCCCTGATGGGCCTAATGGGCCGGTATAAGAGTCCATATATGATATGTGTTATAACACTCCCCCTTGGACGAGTGAACCGGGCCAGCTACTCAATCGGGATCTCGATAATGCGCTGGGGAATGTTGCCTCATTAAAACTTTACCAGGAAAAACCCAGTGGGACAAAACCATGGTGAAGGAAAAAGAGTACAACACGCATTACTCCCCCTGATTGTAGCATCACTGCAGATCTCTAAGTCTATACATTCCTATCTGTTTGACGAGCTTCCGGTGTGTTGAAGTAGGCAATGATTTGGTGAAGAGGTCAGCTGAATTCTCACTGGATCGGACCTGCTGAACGCTGAGAGTGCCGTCCTTCTGCCAGTCTGAGGTTGAGAAGAACTTCGGTAGAATGTGCTTCGTCCGATCTCCTTTGATATATCCTTCCTTGAGCTGAGCTATGCATGCCGCGTTGTCTTCATACATCACCGTGGGCTGTGTGTCTTCGTCCATACCACAATCTCTGCGGATGTGCTGAGTCATGGAGCGCAGCCAGACGCATTCCCTACTAGCCTCATGAATGGCTAGGATTTCAGCATGGTTTGATGAAGTGGCAGTGAGTGTCTGCTTCATTGATCTCCAAGAGATGGCTGTTCCTCCATGCGTAAAAACGTAGCCAGTTTGAGACTTGGCAGTGTGCGGATCTGATAGATATCCTGCATCGGCGAAGCCGACTAACCCATCTTTATTTTGGTTAGTATAGAAGAGTCCTAAGTCTTGAGTACCTCGAAGGTATCTTAGGAGATGTTTTATACCGTTCCAGTGCCTCTGAGTTGGGGATGAACTATATCGAGCGAGGAGGTTCACGGCGAAACATATGTCTGGTCTAGTGTGACTAGCCAGGTACATTAACGCTCCTACAGCACTGAGGTATGGCTTTTCAGGACCAAGGATTTCTTCATCATCCTTTTTGGGACCAAGAGGGTCATCACTTAAGCTTCTTACTACCATTGGGCTGGTCAATGGGTGAGCTTGGTCCATATTAAATCGCTTGAGTACCTTTTCGATATAAGCCGATTGATGCACAAGGATTCCTCCTTTGATGTACTCAAGTTGTAATCCCAAACAGTACTTTGTTTTGCCTAAGTCTTTCATTTCGAATTCTGCTTTTAAGCAGTCGACTGTTTGGGAGATCTCACCAGATGTTCCGAGGATGTTTAGATCATCCACGTATACTGCTATGATTACAAATCCTTTGTTTGAGTACTTCTTGATGAAGATGCATGGACTGATGGGGTCATTTTTGTAGCCTTCTTTGATGAGGTAATCGCTGAGGCGGTTGTACCACATACGCCCACTTTGTTTCAGTCCATACAAGAATTTGTTCAGCCTGATGCAGTATTGATCTCGAGATGCATTTTTGTCTTTTAGTTCAATGCCATCTGGGAGTCTCATATATATTTCGTTGTCCAGGGGCCCATAGAGATATGCGGTTACAACATCCATTAACCGCAGATCAAGATTTTCTCTTATGGCCAGACTTATGAGGAATCGGAATGTTGTTGCATCCACCACTGGAGAATAAGTCTCATCATAATCGATTCCGGGTCTCTGTGAGAATCCTTGTGCTACAAGCCGTGCTTTGTATCGAACGACTTCACCGAGTTCGTTCCTTTTGCGCACAAAGACCCATTTGTGGCCCACTGGCTTGATGTGTGATGGGGTCCGGATGATCGGACCGAACACGTTTCTGAGTTTGAGACTCTTTAACTCCACGTTTATGGCTTCTTTCCATTTTAGCCAATCTGTTCGATGTGTACACTGTGTTATTGACGTGGGTTCTAGATCCTCTTGCGTGAGCGCAACATCAAGTGCTACTTTGTATGCAAAGAGTGCATTTAAGTCGACTTCTTTTCGATTCCATTGTATTCCGGACATATTGTAATTGATGGAGATCTCATTGTTATCTTCTGAACCTGGAGATTCGGCGTCCCGAACTTCCATTGAGGGTTCATTAGATTGAGTCTCAGCCGCGGCTATGTCTGATATTGCAGGAATCCCGGTTTCGGTTATTGCACCTTTCTTTGATTTCCGGGGATTCTTATCTTTGGAACCGAGAGGTCTGCCCCGTTTGAGACGTGGTGCAGACTCTGTAGCAACTTGGGTCTGTTCCGTTGGGACAGCTATTCGTACTGGTGCATTACAAGCTGGGATGTACGATTTGGTTACTTTGGTCGGGTCAGCAAAGGAATCTGGCAATTGATTAGCTAGCTTTTGATAATGAATA